CCCAAACGGAGCCTAACAACATCACTGTGCTCGGTTGCTTCACACGTCTGCTCCACCCCGCCACTCACCAATTTCAGCATTGACCACTGTCTCCCCAGTTCGACAATGGCTGGCCTCTTCGCTTCTTCCCCTCACCCATGTATCTTCTACCCCGTTCACAAAACCCCCCGCCTCCTTCTTCCCCCTTCTCTAAATCTTTCCTTCCAACGGAACCCTAAACTTTCCCGCTTCCCCCCTCCCTCCGCTGGAAAAGCCAGACGGATACGGATCGATCGTTCCTCTGGCGGAGACGACGAAGAGCCCTCCCCTCTCTCGCGCCTTTCAGGCTTTACCGACGAGTGGGGCGAGAGAACCGAGCCGGAGGTGGAACCCATCGCAGAAGCCGATCCGCCCAAAAACGACGATGAGTGGGGGAGTGAGGCGGCCTCAGGAGGTGGCTCGCTAGTGGCCCCAGTGATCACTGATGAATGGGGTGAGAAGGCGGAGCTAGAGCCGGAGGAGCCGGCGAAGCCTGATCCGCCGGTGGATGATGATGAGTGGGGTAACGGAACCCCGAGGCCAGACGATAAGCTCGGGGACTTGAAGAGATGCTTGATTGATACGTTTTACGGGACGGAGTTGGGGTTTAGGGCCAGTGCGGAGGTTAGGGGGGAGATTGTTGAGCTCGTGAGTCAGTTGGAGGCGCAGAATCCGACGCCTGCACCCATTGAGTCGCCGGAGCTTCTTGATGGAAACTGGATTCTTTTGTGAGTATTGTCTTCTTGAAATATGATGATCCAATTAATGATGGCCATAGATTACTAAAATTGAATTTACTGGAAGTTCTGATATGCAATTAGTTGTATCTCTGATGTTGTTCGTTTTCAAGGATTGAATTTTATCATTTCCGTTCATGCTTCTATTTTTCTTTTGGTGGTCTTCAACTCATGCTTCATTTGGTTTTTTTCTAACGGAGTAAACTTCATCAAGGGACTACTAGTACCTCGTGCTTGTAGTATATATTCCATCAAGGGACTACATGTGCTTTTATTCTCATGTTTTATGAAAGTTGCTTATTTTATGATTTATATGATGCACTAAAATATATTCCATCTCTTTGCTAGTCAATAACATTATCTATATCTTTTTGATATTTGAGTTGCATTTGTTGAGTTGCATTTGTTGAGGCATTCATTCTGTCAACATCGTCATATCAACCGCGTTCACATGCCGTTCTAACTCTAGTTTTTAGTTGTTTATGGAAAGGACCTTGGAGTTTTAATCTAGGCATTATTTGTGGATTAAGACTTTAAGAAGCACATGCATAGCTTGACATTAGAGGGCATAATAGCTTTTTGGTTTATATGTTAAGCTCATGTTAAGCTTGTAGCATAGTAATATTTAGACATACCTTTAAAGCCACATGAAAACTTCCATTGTTTATATGGATGTTGTCCATCATTTGCGGTTACATGGAATTTTTTGCGTGGTGCCTGCTTCAGGAAAAATAGAAAGAAGGAAACAGTGAAAAAGGAAATCAAAAGTTGCAGTCTATTCTCCCTTTCTTAACCAATGTTACAGCTATATATATCTGTCTTCTCAGGGACCACCACTAACAGGATAAGAAAATAAATGAAAAATGATTCTGCATAATGGAAAAGTAAACCCAAACGGAACCAATGTGGTAAAGAAACAACTTATGCAAATATATATATATATA